ACACTAGCAATACAAATTCTCAGTCTTTTAGCCCAAACTTCTTTATTCTCCTGTAAGACTCTCTTGCCTAAATTCCTTTGATGTTTGAGTACACTTGGAAACTGTTGTATTTTTACACATAGAAAGTAAATGTACTTACAATATAGTAGCTTTTCTATAGTTATATCTCTTGGTATTTTGAAATATAATATATAAGATAAACTGATAAAAATTAATATAATTTGACAATGGGAAGGAGGTTATTCACTTAAATATTGGTTATAAACAAAGACAGAAATTTTGAGATAATTTTCTGCTTTGTTCTATTCTGTAGTGTAAAAATAAATCCATGGTTAAAATCACATGTATCTACCATGTTTCTTGTATGTAAAAGTCTGATACATGGAAGTGCCTCCCATTTTATTCTGGAGACCTCGTTTGTGATTTTCAAAGATAAATATTGACAAGGTGAACTTCCCCAGGTAGGTTTTACTTCCTAGGTAGCACTCTCTAATTATATCCCTTTTAAAAAATATACATATATTTTATTGACTTTTACAGAGAAGAAGAGAGAGGGACAGAGAGTTAGAAACATTGATCAGCCGCCTCCTGCACACCTCCTATTGGGGATGTGCCTGCAAACAAGGTACATGCCCTTGACCGGAATCGAACCTGGGATCTTTCAATCCACAGGCTGAAGCTCTATTCTATGAGCCAAACCAGTTAGGGCTATATCCCTTTTTAAAAATATATATTTTATTGATTTTTTTACAGAGAGGAAGGGAGAGGGATGGAGAGCTAGAAACATCAATGAGAGAGAAACATCGGTCAGCTGCCTCCTGCACACCCCCTACTGGGGATGTGCCCACAACCTAGGTACATGCCCTTGACCAGAATTCGAACCTGGGACCCTTCAGTCCGCAGGCCGATACTCTATCCACTAAGCCAAACGAGTTAGGGCTAATTATATCCCTTTTAAGTGACATTAAGATACATGCTACCCATGGTGATGGCTAGCCAGCAACGATGGCAAAGTGCAAGAATGCAAGAAAAAGAAACCTCCAGTTTTTCCTTTCTCAGGAAATTGGGATGACAATTGCACAGGTGTGTTTCAAGCCTTTACTTTTATTGTGCTCACCGACATTGGCCAAAGCAAGTCATATGGCTAAGCCCAAAGTCAAAGGGTGAGGAAGTGTACTCTACCCATGGAGCTGATTGCATGTGTGTGCGTGTATGTGTGTGTGTGTGTGTGTGTGTGCACGTGTGTGAACATATCTGAAGAATTTAGCACAGACTCCCCTCCCGTCAGTTTTCCACAATACCAGAAACTTCACTGGTCATCACTCTCTTCATTGCTATTACTTCCCTTCTTAGCTATTACTTACTCTGCTTAGGTTTTACAATATATTGAAAGTCATAGTTACTGCAGACCCAGCCTGGTAAAATCTGCCCCCTCCTGGGCTGAGATGACTGTGGCTGGAGCAAAACGCAGCCTTGCTGCCTGGGCTTTTACACACGTGACCGCCAACCCTAAGCAGGCCCTCAGCACTGTGTGTAAGTCAGTCTCCCCGTCCTCAGCAAGCCCTCCACTGTCCCCCCACTCCCCAAGGTGGACAGAGCAACTCTCCAAGCTCTTCCTCCACCTGAATCCCCAGCGCCACATGCTCTTCTCTCCTTCCCGTTGACAGGTGAGCTGTGCTCCCTCCCCAGGTCAGACCACACAGCACCGTCCTCTGCCTCCTGCCTCCTCGGGAGTTACCCCTGCCCTCTCTCGCATCGCCAGTTCTTCCCTTCTTTCTGTATCAGCCCTCTTGGTGTGCAGACCTGCTGTTACAAGTCTCCTCAGATCTGCTCTTCATCTCCCAGGCCTCTCCTGTTATTGCCCTCTTTATTCTGCCCCCTTTACTGAAAAAATACCTGAACAGAGTTGCCTTTACTTTGCTGTCTCCACCATCTTCTCTCCTAGTAACACAGGGACGTTTGCTATGGAAAGCCCCATGGTCATCCTTTTTACGAAGGGGATATGTATTTTCTCATTTGACTGTTTGCTAAGCGAACTTGGTATTTTCTGTTGTTTTTAGTCATTTCTTTGTATTGCTTGCTTAAAGTCTAATTTGAAACAGTCCTTTGTATTTTCTGTTCTTGGATGAATTGGCTTATGAAACTATCTACGTAAAACCCTCATTTTAAAGGGCAGCGTGGGCTGAATGGTGGCCCCCAAAGGACATGTCCATGTCCCAACGTCCGGAACCTATGAAGGCCACCTTCTTTGGAAAAAGGGTCTTTGCAGGGGTCCCGAGATGAGGTGGGCCCTAAATCCAATGATAAGCGTCCTTCTCAGAGAGCAAAGGGGAGGCGGAGGGGCGGGCCGTATAGAGAGGGAGGCTGAGATCGGAGCTTTAGCCACAAGCTACAGAACATCTGGAGCCCCCAGGAGCTGGAATAGGCCGGAAGGCCCATCCCTAGAGCCCGTGGTGGGAGCCTGGCTCTGCCAACACCAGACTTACAGCTTCCAGAACTGTGAGAAAATAAATTTCTAGGTTTTTAAAATAATTTTTAAAAGATTTTAAAATTGATTTTTGAGAGAGGAAGGGAGAAGGAGGAAAGAGTGAGACATCGGTGTGAAACCAAAACACTGATTGGCTGCCTCCTGCATGTCTCCTACCGGGCATTGAGCCCACAACCTCGGCATGTACCCTGACCAGGAATCGAATCAGCAACCCCTTCAGTGCACCAGACGACGCCCAACTAACTAAGCCACACTGGCCAGGGCAATTTCTGTTGTTTTTAAGCCACCAAATTTGGTGAATTGTCTTGGGCAGCCTTAGGACACTTAACACAAAAAGGATGCAGGTTTAATGGTTCTATAAAGTGACAACTTCTTGAGTAGCAGAGGGATTCATTGTTTTAATTCTCTGAGTTGCCTGATGCCCCCTCTGGGGCTAGGACTTGATTCTCTGTTGCTCCCCAGTCCTGTTCAATGCTGCCTGCTCTGCGCCCACCCTAGTCCCTGCCGTCCCCTGAGCTGCTTGGTTCTGCCAAGCTCTTTGCCTGAAAGCTCCCATTGCCCCTCTTGTTACTCAAGTTCCATTTCCTGGACACGCTCAACCGGGCTGTGGGCTCTGAGCCAGTGCATTAATAAGGTACCTACCTTTTTAGATGGCCGGGGCATGGGTCCCAAATTAAACATGTACAAGCGTTCTGGATGCGTGAAACAAACACAAACAAACCAGCCACAGTAGTGCAAGAGCAAGGCTGGGAGGCGGAGGCAGGCGGTGCCTGGAGACTCTGCCCAAAGTGACAGCTCCACTTAGCTCCAGACACCGAGAAACCAGTGCTGCCAGATCTGATTTTTTTTTTTTTAAGAAATGGGAAAACTGGATTTTTCTGTAAATCTCCTGATTGGTAATCAAGGAAACTAATTCATAGGAAGACAGAACAAAAATCTGAAAATCTGAACAAGCAAAGGAGTTTTTGTGTTTGTGTGCATAGCTCTAGGCCTCACTGGCCCATGCGTTTATTTGTTTGTGTGCTTTTTTTGTTTTGTTTGTTTTTAATCCTCAATCAAGGATATTTTTCCTTTGATTTTTAGAGAGAGTGGAAGGGAGAGGGAAAGACAGAAAGAAATATGGATGTGAGAGAAACACATGGATTGGTTGCCTCCTGCAAACGCCCTGACCAGGACCTGGGCCAGGGAGAAGCCTGCAACTGAGGTACATGCCCTTAACTGGAATCGAACCTGGGACCCTTTGGTCCACAGGCCGACGTTCTATCCACTGAGCCCTACTGCCTAGGGCTGTTTTTTGAGGGGACCTCTGTCTTATGGAGGTAGGATTACTCCAAGTATTTCTTGCCTATCTAAGGGCAACCTTAAAAATCCCCATCTCCTGAGCTAGGCAACGGAAGGGTCATCAGAGGTTTAGCCTGCCAGGGCTTTGCTGGGTATGTCCCGCTGAAGTTAACAAACAGAGACAGTTCAACATGTTAAATATTTTATTCACATTGTGTACAAACTATATCCAACTGGGAAACACAGGAGTCCAAAAATAGATTATTTTACAGCAGTTCACATTTTTTAAAAACAAGCTCCTTTTTATTTTTTAAGCCTCACCTGAGGATATGCTGGGAGAGAGAGAGAGAGAGAGAGAGAGAGAGAGAGAGAGAGAGAGAGAGAGAGAGAGAGACAGACATGTATTGGTTGCCTCCCTTATGTGCCCTGACCAGGGATCGAACTGGTGGCCTTTAGGTGCACAGGACAACACTCAACTAACTGAGCCACCCTGGCTGGGCTCAAACACGTTACTTTTGAAGTTAAACTCTAAGCATGGGGTCCTCAGCGCAGGACTGGGGTGCAGTGGCTCGCCCGGTGAAGCTCCCTGCTCTGGTGACGTAGACATCCCGGCCGAGCCTCTAGTTGGAGACCACTCGTGGCTTACCCACCAGTGACCGATGAGCCCGTCAGTGCACACTGTAACCTGTGAACATGTAGGTGCCGGCTTTGCCAAGGTAATATGTTTTAGGTACACAGGTAAGCTTGAGTACATATCAGGTAGGAGGGCAGAACAAAAGAGACTCACAATTTCATTGGCCATGACTGAGCTGTCGGGACATTTCCATTGGGCACGGACAGAATCAACGAACTACGATTTCATCAGGTTGACAGCTTGAGTTGTAGAAATAGCCGTGATTTGGGAATTGAAGCAAGTGCCTTTGCCTGTCCAATGACACCCTCTCCTAGGCCCCCCTCCACCCAAGCAGGAGAAGAGGGGGAATAAACTCAGCAAGAATGAAGAACAGCCAGAACCGGTTTGGCTCAGTGGATAGAGCGTCGGCCTGCGGACTGAAAGGTCCCAGGTTCGATTCCGGTCTAGGGCATGTACCTTGTTTGCGGGCATATCCCCAGTGGGGGGTGTGCAGGAGGCAGCTGATCGATGTTTCTCTCTCATCGATGTTTCTAGCTCTCTATCCCTCTCTCTTCCTCTCTGTAAAAAATCAATAAAATATAGTTAAAAAAAAAAAAGAAAAGAATGAAGAACATATGAATGTGTCTCATGGTAAGTGTGTTATTATTGGGTCAGGATGGCCGTGGGAGTGCAGGTGAGCGGCCACAAAGATGTGTTGGTTGAGAAACTCCTGTTAACCTACGCTCAGCCCAGTGGTGTGCCAGCTGGATGGCTTAGCCCTCTGACTAATTAAGAAGCTTTTCTATGGAATTTTATTTTAACGAAGCAAAGCCTACAGTATGTTTGTCTTAGCACACGTCACCCCTTCCTGTTACATTAACCACGAACGAATCACTGCTTCCCTTCGAGAGCTGCTGCAGCTAAGTGTGTGCACACGTTGGGGATGGGAGCACACGTTGGGGATGGGAGCACTGGGTGGTGGGTCAAGGCAGAGCTGGGTCCTTTCCTCTGAGCTGCACCTGGGCCCTGGCTGCTGAGGCTCAGCCCTCTCCACTTAAGGAAGCAATGTTTGCTCAAAGTATCAGGAAAGATCTCCCCCCCCCCCTTCCCTTGGGTTAAAAAAAAACAGCAGCGGTATTTGTTAAGGGTTGCTGCCATCACCCGCGAGTAGACAACAACAACTCTGAATGCAAATGTAAGCCGAGACGCGGAGAAACTTTATCAGCACGTTTGCACGGTTAAAAAGCAAACAAACCAAAAGCCGAAAACCAAGACTTTCAAACGTCTGTGGCGATCTGAGCGTTTGAAAACAGAAATCCACTCGCAGGAGCCAGCCGAGGGAGCCCATCATAGCTTGTCTTCCTGCCACCCGTGTGCGTTTCTTCCGAATTTGTACACCAGCCTTCGGTCGACCCGTTCCAGGATTCCCGTTTTGTAGTAATACCTGAGAAAGACAGCAGGCGGGAGACGGGGGGAGGGCTTGCACCCCAGGCCAGCGCCGGAACATCAACACCCTCTCCCCATTCTTCTCCGGTGACGAGGCCCGGCTTTGGTTACCCTGGTATTTTCACACCCCGTTCTCAGCTTACATCAATCCTTTCCCAGACACCTCGAGGACGGAACCTCCCACATTCCGCTCCCAACGTGTTCTGTGTGTGTGTGTGTGTGTATGAGTGTGTGTATGTGTGTGTGTGTGTGTATGAGTGTGTGTGTATGTGTGTTTATATATATGTGTATATGTGAGTATATGTGTGCATTTGTGTGTGCGCGCACGTATATGTGTGTGCATGTGTGTATATGTGTGTGTGTATGTGTGTATGTGTGTGTATGAGTGTGTGTGTGTGGTGTGTGTGTTTGTATATATATATATGTGTGTATGTGTGTGCGCGCGCACGTGCATATATATGTGTGCATGTGAGTATGTGTGTGTGTGTGTGTGTGTGTGTGTGTGTGTGTGATGGCCGGATTCATTCACAGTGATTCCTGGGAACACTGCCAAGAAGGAAAAGGTCCATTTACGAACCGTAATCCCACCTGGAACTAAGAAGTGGAGTGTTGTGTCATGACCTTTCGATTACCAAGAAGAAGAAAAAAAGCTGTGGAAACTCGGTGCCGTTCGGGGCCGGCCCCTTTATGTCACCGCCTGAGGCTCGGGGCATCGAGTGCCCTTAACTCACCTCAGAGCCCTGCTCAGCTTCTCGTACGTCATCCTGTCGTTTTTCTTCCTCTGTCCCCACATCTTGGCCAGGGCTTCTGACTTCACCACCCGAAAAATGCCCTGCTCCCGGTCCTCCCACTCCAGGATGCCGCAGTTTTCCTCCGGAGACAGGAGCAGGTCACGCACAAACTCCCAGAGGTGAGAACTCTGGAGACCTTTGGGAGGAAAGGAAGTTACTGGATTTTTAAATTTTTTTAATTTTAAGGGGAGAGTTGTGGCATTTCTCAGGAACCCATGAGAATACCAGAATTACTGCTTTGTGGGGTTAGGATGGAACATCGCCGAGCTGGGAAGGGAAGCGTCTGTCTCAAAACAGACATCTGGGGACGCATTGACGGGCAGTGGCCTTCCCCTGCTCTGTAGCACACGGGGTCATTCTCAGGGAATTCATGAAATGGCTGTCAAACAATCTTCTCATGCTTTCAGACAGGCAGAGGGCTGTATTAAGCCCCCACAGCCACAGCTGTCCGGGTGGCCCAACCCCACAATGAGATTTTTCACAAAAAGCTGGTATTTCCCTTGCTCCACTGCCTTGTGGCTTCGGCTGGTTCCGGAGTCCAGCTGGGATCGCGGCGTGGACTGCCCCCTTCCTAGCTCTGCCATCGCAATCTCTCTCGTCACCTGGAGACTGGGATCATAAGAGTGCCCACTTCGTAGTGGAGGTTAGAGGGTTAGGATTTAATACAGATCAAGTGGCCGGAACCAAGCTCAGCAGGTGGGCGGCCCCGGGTAGGTCTGTCTCAGTTCTGGGAAAGGCTAACAGGACTGCCAACTCCTGGTGCTTTTTTCTGCTGCTGTCCCTGACCACTTCGGGGCAAAGACCCCCTCTCTCCTCCCCATAGACCAGACAGATAAACTTTTCTTCTTCGTGGTTAGAAATTGTCTCTACTTCCTCATTTCCCAAGAGAAAAAGAAAGAAATGTGAGTTTGACAGCATTCATCAAAATCGTTGTCAACGTCTTGACCAACTTGTAGGTGGGCAATGACTGGTCCTGTGTAGACAGGCAGTTTCAAATCTGATGAGACTGGGTGACCTTAACTCGTGAGTGGTTTTAAGACGTTAGAAATGGGCAGGGGCATCTCTACACTTACTCGTTCGACTGTGACCGTGACTGTGACAGTCTTGACTTTTGATGCCGCTTGTTTTCAGGCAGCTGGGTTCAGCATCTGGAACAGAAGGAGTCACAGCTGTAGGAAGGAATGTAGAGGCCACATGCAGACCTCACGTCACACCCCAGTAGGCAAATGGATTGAACCCCTCTTAGGGAGGAGACACCATGCTGGGTGCTTTGGGGGTGATTAGTAGGTGGGGGTGGGGGAGTGGGGGGAGAGGGTGCAAAGATGCCAAAGACTCAGTATTTGTTTTTCAGGAGAGTTTGCACCCAACACTGGGGACCTGCTCTGTGCCAGGTCTGGGCTCTGTGCTGGGGATACAAGAGCGAATGAGACGGACTTGGTCCCTGATCCTGTGGGATTTAAGGACTAGTGGCCAAGGGAAAACATAGATGGAACAAACAAATTCCCCCCCCCCCCCCTTTTTTTAAGGGTTGTGACAGAACTCTTAATTGGATAGAGGGCTAAGGTGGAGAAAAGGAGGTAATTTAGATGGTGTGGCCCAGGAGGGTCTGGTGAAAAGGAGACATTTTCTCTGAGAGAGAAAGATGAGAAGGAGCAGGATGGAGGAGGGATCGGGTGCTCGGGCTGCCGGCAGGTCACGTAGGGCCTTCTTTGCAGAACTTGCTATTTTATTCATAGAGTAAAGCGAAGACTTGGGAGTTCAACAAGATCCCCATTTTAAGAAGATCCCTCTGGCTGGTAAATGGAGAATAGACGGGAAGAGGAACACAGGTGAAAGCAAAGAGACCAGTGCCTAGCTCAGGGCTTGGCACACAGTAGGTGTTCCATAGATGTTTATCGAATGAATGAATGAAAGAAAAGAGGAAGAGATGGATGAGGAAGCAAAGCAATTCAGAGCTTCAGATTAGACACACACCTGTGTCATCTGTCGCCTTCTAACTTTGTCACCTCACCCTACTAAGCATTTGTTTCCGCCCCTGTGAAAAGCCTATGGTACTAGCACTTGCCTTACAGGGTTTTAGGAAAGAAGAGACAATGTCTATGAAGATTCTAGCACAAGGTTTGGCTCACAGTAAGCTTCCAGTAAAAGCTAGCTGTTATTGTCAGTATTATTGTACCAGCTCCAGTTGTGACTAGTTATATATTCAAGTATACAGTATATTCTAAAGAACTTAGGGGACACAGTATTCCTCCCTAGCCCCTCCTCCTCTTATGCTGTGAGGAAGGCAGGCTGACAAATAGACACCCCTTTATAAGTGGAGAATCTGACCCCGAGAATGGGTCGGTCATGTCAAGCTCACTGCTGCTTAGCTACGACGGCAGAGGCCTGCCCTGGACTTAGACTCAGGAATGGCCCCTGGGCCTCAGTGGGCTCAGTTCTTCTAGGGGCTACGCCTGGATTGGGCTGGGTGGTGAAAGCTGGGGCCTGCATCCCTCGCCCAATGGCTGCAAATGGTGAGAAGGGACTCCACCAGAGCCAGGGAGCTCTGTGGGGGCTTTGTTCACAGGGAATGCAGAGCTGCTCTTTGAGGGCTCTGGGCTCCGTGGGGGTACCGGGTGCCTGCCTAAGCTACAGCACGTAGAGCATGCACCTGGCTGCCGCACTCAAACTGAATAAAAACTCCTTCATCAGCCAGGTCATCTGAATCCTGGGGTGACTGCTTGGGACTTAAAGAAGGAAAAATAAATCATGAGAAACGATCTGTCCACCCGCCCCTCCGCTTGCACCTCCCTGGAGTCACCATGTGTCCTGTCTTTTTGCAGATGATTGAACTGAAGTCAGAGCCCGGATTCTGATCCCCAGGCCAGAGCCTTAGCATGGGCTCAGCAACTAATAGCAATCACCACTGTCACCATCGTTATCTTCATCTTAAAAAAAAAAAACCAAAGCTACAAAATTCTCTTTCCTGAACCTCCATCTGCAAGAGCGAAACAGCGAGGGCTAAATTTCAGAATGAACCAGGCCATCCAAGGTCCTCCATCTCCTTATCATTCTACACTCGGCCTGCTAAGTGAGCTCAGATTCCTGGTAGATGCGCTCAACCACAGCCGCTAGTCATTAAGTTAGTCATTAGGATGGTTGTTGCTTGCGGACACCAGTTTTAGAGCATCTATGCCACTGGCGTAGGCCGGTTACTCTGGATGCACCGTTTCTGGATCTTATGCACCATGTTCAGACAGGGGAACTGAGTCTGGGGCAGACTAGGAAGTCACAGGCCCCAACCTCAGGCTCTGTCCACCACATTTCCCCCTGCCATCTCCTAGCCTGGCATTACTTCAGGCCATTCCCTCTCAGGGTGGTCCCGAAAGAATGATCAAACCTCTGCCCAACAGCAGCTGCAGCCTGAGCTACTCACAGTCTTTGATGGCCTTGGACTCTTCAACATCGTTAAGGAAGGAGCAACCTGGGAAGGAAAGAGCAAAGCACAGCTCATATTATGCAATCCTGCTTTCCCCTGGCCAGGCCCGGAGAGACACGAGGAAGAAGGGGAGGGATTGTGTCCTCTGTGGTGTGGTTTCATTTCAGCAGGGAGCTTGGAGACCACCTGGTTTTTACAAGGCCACGTGCAGCCCCCCCACTGAGAGCTTTTTTTCATTTACGAAGGCAACTGGCACAGGGAGGGCACACTGGTGACTGTGTTGCTAGTGCCGCTCTCTGATTGGTTCTGGTCAGCCACGTGCCTCAGCTCACTCTGCCCAATGGGCTGCTGAGACCAGAGTGGGGCTGCTGAGGGGCTGCTCCTCCACCCTCCACCCTGCCGCCTGCTGACTTCGCCTGCCCGTGACCTGTGACCCATGTTGCATGTTTCCGGGCCCTGAAGTCCTCCTGAACCGACTGAGCCAGGACCACGTGGGGTCCCGGAGCTCCCTTCAGCTTCTTTTCTGTCAGAGAACATTTGTTTTGTGTCCTTGTCTGCCAGCCCTAATCTACAGGGTAAGATAAGGCTTAAACCAGGTAATAAGCAGTTCTCCCTATAAATTACTATCCAAAATGGAGACATTTTTGAGTGTGAAACAGCATAATAGTAAGTTTTCCAGGATAACAGGTGAAAACTATGTACCCTGGGCAGACTAGGATGGGGGGTAGAGGTCAGTCACGGTGCATCATATATTCCTTTCCTTTAAAAAAAAAATGTTTTATTGTTTTTTTTTGTTTTGTTTTGTTTTGTTTTGTTTTTTTTACAGAAAGGAAGAGAGAGGGATAGAGAGCTAGAAACATTGATGAGCGAGAAACATCGATCTGCTGCCTCCTGCGCACTCCCTACCGGGGATGTGCCCACAATCAAAGTACATGCCCTTAATTGGAATCGAACCTGGGATCCCTTAGTCCTCAGGCTGATGCTCCATCCACTGAGCCACACCAGTTAGGGTGCATCATATATTTCAACACACAGTAACACTCCTGTTTGAGGAGCATTGAAGGAGGGGTGCACCATCCATCATACGGATGAGGCCGAGGACATCCAGAGAGTCCGATGGCTCACGGAGGTGGAACTGTGGTGAGATTAGGATTGAGACCTTCTGATCGCAAAGCCCGGGCTTTGTGCTGACTTTCCAGGAATCAGTCCCTTTTGCTGCGTGACCTCAGAGGAGCAGCATCACTGTGCGGGACCTCCGCTCCTTTATCTGCGACCCGGGGACACAGAGTTACATGTTCCCCCAACACCCATCCGCCTGCGGAGCAGGTTGGTGCAGTGAATCATGTGCCGGGAGCCACCTGTGAGCTGTTTGGTCCTGGACCATGAGGAACGGGTTCAAATAAAACAACCGTCCGGCTTCTCCGGAAACGGAAGGAGAAGGGTCTAGTTAGTTTTCTTCTCTTTCTGTGTCATGAAAGGTCCAGCAGAAACCTCGCTGTGTCCACCCTTTCTAGCTGCCAATCTTTTTTTTTTTTTTTAAATATAAATATATTTTTATTGGTTTCAGAAAGGAAGGGAGAGGGAAGGCAATAGAAGCATCAATGACGAGAGAGAATCATTGACTGGCTGCCTCCTGCACGCCCCCTACTGGCGATCAAGCCTGGGCATGTGACCTGTGACGGGAACCATGACCTCCTGGCTCATAGGTCACCATTCATAGGTTGAGCCACGCCCACCAGGCTATAGCTGCCAATCTTTATGAACATAATACTTTATCTTGTATAGCCTGGGTGGTCCCTGAATGCTATTTTCATTTTTTTCTTTTAAAAAACGTACCCAACTTGCTTGCTTGCATCCTCCTCCCTTTTACCTACAACCTCCGATCCTGGCATTCCAGAGCTCCCAGTTTCCGAGAGGCTTTGGTTGACAGGATTTGGAGGAATGGAAGTGCCAGTGAGGGAAGCTTTGTGGTGGGAGTCCCATGGCAGGGAGGGACCCGGGCGGGTCCTGTGGTCCCAGCCTCGGCCCCTTCCGAGGCCCCGCCCCCCAGACACCAACCTTGGGAGCGGATGTTCTGGAGGATGAAGTACAGGTACTCGCCGCAGACGCCCCCCGCCTCCACAAACTCCTCCTGGGTCATGCTGCACAGCTGCAGGCCGTTCACGTTGAAGTGGCAGAAGGAGATGCAGTTGATGTCCAGCTTGTACTGGTCGCAGCAGAACTGGATCCAATCCCAGACGTGGCGCTTCGTCCAGTACTCGGGGTGGACGGACGTCCAGTAGGCGTCGCAGGCTGCACCGGGGGAGAGAGAGAAGTGAGGGACGGTGTCCTGGGGAGATCTTGGGAAGGCCCCTGGTTACATTAGCATCTTCATCCCTTGCCCATGAGCTGAAAGGGACTCCAGCCATGGAGGCGGGGCGGGGGGGGGGGTCTGCTGGGACCCAGGCCAGCTCCTATTCCGCAGTAAAAACCAGAGGGGACTGGACCCTAAGGGGGGACAGTAGGGCAGAAGAGGGAGTGATGGGGGCATGGTGACCTGGGAGTGTCCAGGCCTAGTTTGGTGCCTAGAAAGAGGGGAGTTAGACGAGAAGGGGAGAACGAGGCCCTGCCGTGATTCCATGTCAGACGACATGGTGTCAAGATCACAGGCTTTGGAGCCTGACAGGCCCGATTCAAATCCTGGTTCTGTCGCTTTCCACTGGGGCCAGGCCCATAGACACATAAGCCTTGTGCCCACATCTATGAGGTAAGGATATGGGCCCAGCACACAGGGTTGTTCACAGTGGGGTAACATGTACAGGCTGTATGGCACATAGAAACCGATTCATTTGTTCAACAGTCACTAAATGCCTCTGCATGCCGGGCACCCCTTGAGGTGATTGGATTCTCTCTGCCCTTCTGGGCGGTTGCCAGCACTCCCGCCTGGTTTGTGCTCTGCCTCTGGCCACTTGGAGGTAGGGGCCCAGGGCCGGTGAGACGTGGCCCAGAGACCCACAGACCGTGGGTCTCCATAACAGACTTCTCTGGAGGAAAAGGAGTAGGGTGGGCATGGGGGAGGGAGGGAATTGGTTGCAGTGTTGTATTTGTGGCTTTGGGGTATTTTAAAGAAATCCTATCCCCAAACCAGTGCCTCTTCCCTCCTTCAGAGGATCCCTGTACACAGCCAGGCAGACTGGGCACCATCCCCTCTGGGAGGCGGGAAGCGGCTGTGCCTGGCCTGGGTGCAATGCCAGGAGAAGCAGAAAGGGTGGCTGACACAGGATATGGAAGGGGTGAGGTAGCAGGTACAGGGTCAGGCTCTTGGACATAAACAATGCTTGCAATCGCCACAGTACTCATCCGTGCGTTCTTCATTCCATAAACCTGCCTGGGCTTCCTCACTGGTAAGATGGGGACCATGGCAGCGCCTGCATCCTAGGCTGTTCTGTGGCTTAGATGAGTGAATCTACAGAAGAGCCCTTGGGACGGAGCCTGGGAGGTTTTCATGCCTCTAGTAAGGTGACTCTTGAACACCTGCTGTAGCAAAGCAAGACCTTGCGGGGGAAGCGGTCACGGTAAAGAATATTTGGTCCCTGTCCCCTGGGAGGTCACCGATGAGGAAGCTGAGGACTTTCCTGAGACCCCACAGCCAGTGTGTGGCGGAGCTGGGGTGTGAACTCCGGTCTGAACTTGAAAGCCATTCCTCTTCCCATCCCATCACCCTAGTCCTCAGAGGCTCCGCGCAGAGAAGAGATGAAGCAGAGAGAAAGGGAGGAGGCAGTCGGAGGGCCAGAGAGAATAAGAAGGCCCGAGGAGAGAGGAGGGGAGAGAGGACAGCATTGCTGATGGCCCAGGGCGTGGGGACGACAGAAAGGGTCGCTCACGAGTTAGTCTGCAGAGCTAATGGCAGGAGGCTGGCTGATCCCCCCTTTAAGTGCCGCGTTGGCTGCCACTGTCCCCAGGGGAGCCCTGGAGCCTCGAACCCGAGGCAGAGGATGGGTTCTCTGCCCGGTGAGGTGTACCGCTCCCTGACACTCCATGCCAGCTTCTCAAGTTCCTCAGATCTGCCCAAATAAGTAGGATTGGGCACTTCAGAAGACGGAAATGGAAGCTCCCCTTAGAGCTCCGAGTCCTTCCAGAAATGGACTTTCCTCTCCTAGAGTGGATGGAGTGGCAGTCAAACTTAATAAATTTATTTTAATTTATTTATCATTTTTCATCTGAACTTGGTGTGTACGTGGCTCAAAGGCTCCATACCCTGCCAAGTGGCTGAGGCCGATGTCACTGCTGCTTGCTGCGGTGGGGAGAGCGAGGGGCCTGTTGGCACCGCCGCTCTGGCCCCCTGGCCAGTGGGGGGCGCCTGGTGGCCAGCAGGGCCTCCCGGGACAATGGTGTGGCCACCCTCTGTGTGCTTTCTGCCTGCTGATTTCTGACTTGAGCAAACTTAAGACAGGCCCTTTGCTTCCCTGGTGTTCTGACGAGAGAGCTTTCCGAGCCTGACACTCTCCTAGCCCTGGTCCCACTGAGAGCGGACAGAGGGGTGGCGGGGCCTGCAGGTGGAGGGCACAGCTTGCTGCTGCTTTTCGTGGAAAGGGTTCTCTGAGCCTCCCCCTGCTCCCCTCCTCGCCTCCGCCCCCCTCACTATTTTCTTTGGCGCTTGGAGAGGGCTATGTTTTTTCTGGAAGCCAAGCGAGAGGGTTCAGAGAAATGCCTGGGTGGGTGGGTGGGTGGGTGGGCACTGACACCGGGAGGTGTTGCTGGCAGGGCTCCCTCCCCAGTTCTCCCCGGCACCCTGCCACAGAGCAGGCTTTGTATGCTGCTGGGCCTGGAGGGCAGCCAGGACAGGCACAGCCCGGAGCGGTGAGGAAAAGGCCTCTTCTCGGGACATGGGCGCTTCTGGGCCACGGGGTGCCTCGCGGTCCTGTCTTGGCAATGCCAAGGCTGCAGTGGTGAGGCTGGCAGGGGTGAGGAGGCCCCGCTGCTCCTAAGTTGCCTCCTGCTCAGCATCTTCCACACGCACTTCCCCTGCTCAGGACGAGGTCCACGTGTGCCTTCTTCTATTCCCTGCTCCTCCTCAGGACCACAGCGCACGCCCCCTGCCCCCTCTCAGCCAGGCTTCCCTCCCTCTCAGCCCCTCAGGTGCCCTTCTCATTCGGATACAGCCCCCTCGCTCTCTCTTCAGACCATTGGGAGCCCCAGGAGGCGGGGCCCCCTCTGCTTGGCTCACCCAGCATCTGAAGTGTGGGGCCCGGCCTCGCCCACCGTGGGCGCTCAGGGAGGGTACCTGACGGGCCGAAGGACCAGTGATTATTGCCTCCGCTCCCTGGTGAGGACACTGAGGTTCGGGGAGGGTGGATGGCTTGAACAAAGCCTCACAGCTGGTCAGGAAGGGCGTTAGGCCCCAGCTAACTCTCCTCTCCTGAGATGTGGGAATTCTGCATCCTATCACTCTGGCTGAGGAGGACCAAGTTGCATACACATCTTGAAGTCTAACTAAAAAGGATTTGGATGACGGCAGGAATTACATATATAATATAGGTTTGAAAAATCAGAAAAAGGGCGGAGAGACTGGTGATGACACTATTTGCAACCCCAGAGAAGGACCTGAAGCAGACACTTTGCCCTTTGGTTACTTGGAAGAGATAAACTCAGGGCCAAAATAAATAAATAAATAAAATAAAATAAAATAGAATTAAATAAAAAAAGGTAATACACTCACAGGACTCACAGGGCAAGCTATCTTTAGTAAGTTGTATCGTTTGAAAATAAAAAGTGTTTTCCTTCACGTTTCTGCCATTCATAAATATAATCTACACTCTTTGGAGAAGCTGAGGCCCTTTGTGTACATCCACTGGTTGAAGACAAATGGCATCCATTGCCCGGTAGACTTCATCCAGATGTCCGTGGCCACTGCTGAGCCGCTGAGCAGCAGGCTGGCCGGCTCCTTTGAAGTCAGAGGCGGTCAGGAAAAAGAGCTCGGGACGTAAAAGGGACAATCCTGGAGGAATTCCGAGCAGGGATGCGGTAGCCTGGGATGCACATGCATTTAGGAGGAGAACTCAAGCTTTCCCAGCCGGGCGGGCACACTCAGATGCCCACAGGGCCAGCAGGTCATGTCCATGCCTGAGGGGGCCCACATGGGGATGCTGAGACTTGCCATGGGCCCGCTCCTCCACTGGGAATGCTGCCCTGTGCCCTTCCCACATGGACATTTTGGAGCCAATTTTCTTGGAGCCTCACTTGAAACAAAAATTTGGGGAGAGATTTTGACTCTTTTTAAAAAAATTACAACAAAATAGATATGCCTCAGAATGCCAAATCTGTGTATTGCAAAGTAGTGTGAGCTTAGAGATATGGAGATATCCTCTGCCGGAGAACTTGTCCTTTCTCCTCTGCTGATGGGGGAGCATGGGCAGGAAAGTTTGTGAAGCTACGTGAACCTGTGGACTCTGGTTCCCACCGTCCACTCTAGGCTTCTGCCAACTGACCTGGAGAGAAAGGGGGACCATTGGGAGGTGTGGGATGCGGGTGTGGAGTCACCCAGCCTGGGCTGTGGAGAAGGCCCTTCCTGATGTGCATTCCTGGCTTTTCAACTTCTCAGCTGTGCAATCCCGACAAAATTTCCTAACCTCTCTGGACCCAGCTTCCTTCAGCTGTCATGAGGAATAACAATAGCGCCCACCTCTTAGGGAGTTTGCTGGGAAAAGGAAAAGACACGAGGAATATCAAGAACTTGGCTGTGTTCCTCCGGACAATAGGAGGCTTTTGCTATGTCGCCTGTGATTCGTTGTTATTTTGGGACATTTGTTCCCAGGGAAAAAAGACCTTCCCTACAGGGCCTCCATCTCGCTGAGGGACAACAGAACAAAGTGAGCCCAGGGACCGGCGACGGGGAGCCAGCCAGCCAGCCAGCCCAGGTCAGAGAGGCCGAGGTAGCCGGCTGGACCACAATTAGCATGATTTACGAGCGCAGGGAGCTGGGGAAGTTCCTTGCCCGGAGCAGCCGGTGAGTGAACTGGGCAGCTTGGGCACCATCAATTGCGGCTTTGTCACGGAGAGGAAGGACCTTCTGAGGCGCAACCTGAAAAGACAAATTGCTTCCAGGTTTCCTCCCAGAGCGGGTCTAGCCGCATCCAATAGCCCTTCTTGGCTCTGTTTCTGAGCCAGTGGAGCGATTTAGAGGAGGAGATAAAACAAAAACAACAAACAAACCAACAAACAAAAACAACAACAACAACAACAAACCACACCTGGGCAGTGTAAGGAACTGGATGGAGAAGAGAGAAGAAGGCATGGCTGGGTATCAGCGAAGGGCTGTGGTCGGAGGTAGGTGTGGAATTAGGAGGGGACGGGAAACGCCAAGCCCTGGGTGGTCCTGGGCCCAAGGCCGCCCAGAAGGCTCAGATTTGTGTAGGATAGGGGAGCAGTGGCAAACGTGAGGCCTCCTTCTGGGGATGTCCTGGGGTGTCCAGTCATTTTGTATTTATTTATCTGCTTTTGATTTAGAAACCATTGCTCTTTCTTTCCCAGGCACTCTTAGATTTCTATGCCCAGCACATGGATCTTGCTTAGAAAAGCCCACGTGGAACCCAAAAGCCTCCCACCCTGGTCACCTGGATGCCGATAGCACAGATCCGTGGGTTTTGCACTTTCTTCGCAGTTCTTCTTCAGAAAGACCCTCCCATTGGGGAATCGTAGCTAATACGTTTGTGGAGCACTTCGTGTGCCAATTACTGCTATACTCTGAGTTTTCTCATGCTGTCCTCAGCACAGGGCTGCGAGGTCCTAGATCCGTGGTCAGCAAACTGCTGACTCGCGAGCCACATGCGGGTCTTTGGCCCCTTGAGTGTAGCTCCTCCACAAAATACCACGGCCTGGGTGAGTCTATGCTGAAGACGTGGGGTTAGAAGAAGTTTAAGTGTAAAAAATGTGGCTCTCAAAAAAAATTTCAATCGTTGTACTGTTGATATCTGGCTCTGTTGACAAATGAGTTTGCTGACCACTGCCCTAGATCACACCACCCTTTTACAAAGCAAATGAGGAAAGTAAGGCACGGAAGGGTGAGGTCCTTTCTCCAGGTCACACAGGAGTCAGAGGCAGAGCTAAATAAGGTCATAGAGGTCTCTTACAGCCCCTGCAGCCACGCCCTGATAACCATTGCGCCATACCGTCTTCGGAATGAAAGCACGGCAGCCTTGCTGGAGGGTGGGGATGGAGAGGAAGGAGCTGGAGGCTGGTCTTCTCAGCTGTCACCCCAGGTTGCCAAGGGGCCTCCCAGGAACCCCCAGAGCTGCCTAACCCAGAAACCTCTGCTGCAGAGTGCAGTCCAGATTCCAAAGCAAAGGGCACAACGTATGCAGGTGTGGCCACCTTGGCAATCAGGGGAGAGAGAGTGCGTGTGCATGTGTGCGCACTTGTGCATGTGTGCATGTGTGTATGTGTGTATGTGTGTGTATGTAGGTTGAGGATGGAGCTCTAGCCTGCAGGGGTGAGACCACGAGACTTCATGACGCCTTAGATGCTTGGCCACTGGAACTTGATTGGAGACCTGACCTTTTGAGCATACCATCTGCTTGGAAAATATTTGCAGCATCCCTTTGATAACATTTTCCAGTATCTGTAATTCTTTTCTTCTAAGCGCTGAAGGGAGGGCCAGGGTGAGTTCATGAATTTCTAAGTATTTTGCAATCGGACTGTCCCATCCCAGCATGCAGTGCAGCGACGCCAGAAGTCCTTCTTCAAAGAGCAGGTCACCTTTGGGGTTATCGCCCACCCTGCTGCCCTCTGCTAGGGCCATGCGAGGACGCTGGGAGAGCAGCTGGCTTCCCGGCTGGGTTGAACGCCCCTCCCTGCCCTCTTATGGACGCCATTGGTCTGCTGGGCACTCCATTTCTCTCTCCCTTCAGCCTCAACGCATCTAGGCTGTCGGAGATTCCGCATTGGAGAGGTGGAAACTGGGGTTGCTTTTGTTCAACATAAAAAATGAAGCGAGGAGAGAGAACGCTGTGCTCCCCTGAGCCAGGAGCCGCCGTTGGCTGGTTTGGCTGCGGTGAGCGCCTACCCAGTGCCAGGGGCTGTGCTACCCACTTGCTGGGTGGAATCTGCTGTCCCCATCCTCCCAGCTATAAGAGGCAGGTGCTGTTCCAGCTGGAGTACGATGTTAGAGAAAATCTGCCCGAGGCCACGGGCTGTGGAGTGGCAGAATCTAACAGAAAGCTGCCCCCGGGACAAGTCTAAATTCAAGATGAACTTCCCGTGAGCAGGAGATGACTCTGGGCATGAAAAGTCTGCAGAGCCGTGTCCAGAGGTGGAGCCTCTCGGGGGGGGGGGGGGGGGGGGGGGGGTTTGTGCAGACACTCACACCCATGTGGCATCTCTCTGGGTGAGAACACGACGGAAGCAGCCCCGGGCCCTCCTCCCACCGAGGTGACCCACCCAGCGCCAGGCGCTCATGGGGATCCCCAGCCTCGGCCTGTGGGAGGTCAGAGCCATTCCACTGAGACCGCAGCCAGCCGGCTGCTCCCTCAGGGAACATCAGGAAGTTGGGTGGCTGCTGGGGGCTGTTTCATTTCCACTGGCCCCCGGCCTCGGCGGCCTCCTTTCTGTTCTCTCAACGGGTGACAGAGGACGAAGGCTACATCTGCGATCCTGCCTGATGCAGGAATCAGAGAAGCTTCTGGAAGGGATCTTAGAAATGACCCGGTCCAATGCCTCATTGCATGATGGGAATGAAGACATGGAGACAATTGTTCTGAAGAAACCTCAGACAGGAGAGAGCTGAGGCAATATCTAAAATTGCTGGGTTTTAGCAGCACTGGCAATCCTACTGGTGATCACTTAGGCTAACTCTTTTTTTTTTTTTAATTGCAGTAAAATATTCATAATGTAAAATCTACCATTTTTTGAGTGAACAGCTTAATGGCATTAAATACATCACCACTCTCCATCTCTAGAACCTTTTCATCCTCCCTAACTGAATGGAACCCTTCATTTTTAAACAACCACGTGTGCTTATCATGTGCCCAACCACGTCCCATACACAGCCCTCTCTGTGAGCTAGGCATCCTTACAACTCCATTTTACAGATGAGAAAACTGAGGCTTGAGAGGCAAAGGTGGTGCCTGGCTCTGATGCCTACAGAAGCAGCTGCTGAGACATTGGTGATTGCAGAACAGGCAGGAAGAGGGACCTCCAGGAGGACAGGTCAGCGATACACGTGGATGAGACAAGGACAGGACCTGGCCTGCCACCATGCCACGTGTGGGGAGGGGACAGCGCCTTGGAAGCCTTCATTTTCCTCCTTCAGATGTAGCCTCTTCACCAAGTATTGAGGGGAGAAAATCCAACACATTGCTCAGCGTCTTTCTGGGAAACCAGGTGCCTCTTAGGCCCAAAGGAGAATTGCGATATGTATTTGAATGAATCAGGTTCAAAGGCAATTACCTGGACCCTGCAGGCGAGGGTGCAAGATGTCTTGGGTGAGCTTGTGCGCCTGGGGCAGGGGTTGGGAGTGGGTGCAGGGCTGACTTAGGTAGGTAAGTGCCTCCAGGCTGTCTATGCAGCCCTGGCGCCTGGCCCGGTATTATCACCCCCATTTTTACTTGATAGCAAAATGAGGCTCCAAGAGGTGAAGTGGGCAGGTCGTTGTGAGGTTCCAGGGCTTTCCTTCCTTCCACTCAGGCCTCTCCTGGTCCCCTGCCATGGACACTGGTGAGAGGGGGCATTTCCAGGCCCCTCGCATGGTCTTGTCACCAGCCCAGGCCAGCACCAGCTCCTGCCCCCCCAGCCCATCCCAACTCAGATGGACCTCCCCAGGTGTGCCTACCTGTCTGGTGTTCAAAGGCAGGATAGTACTCCTCATTGCTGAACAGGTCAGTCCAGGACATCAGGGGGTCGCAGAAGGACGCGTTGGGCAGGAAGGTGCTGTGTGTCACTGAGTCCAACATCACCCTGCAACGGCAGGAGAGGCTGTGAGGAGGCGTGATGGCTGGAAGCCACAGCAGGCCCCAGCAGGCCCCGGTGGCTTAACAATGACAGCAAAGACTCACATCTGGGGATCTCCTGGGAGCCAGGGCCTCCTCCACGTGCTTTCCACGACTGATCCTTGCCACATCCCAGGAGGTTTGAACATCTATCCCCGTTTCTAGATGAGGAAATTGAGGCAGAAGGATGGAGACAATTGCCCGTAGATCTTGGCCCATAAGTGGCAAAACTGGGATTTGAGGATGGAAACTCTTATTAGCCAATACTGCCTCTTTCGATACTTTTCCTATTCACTCACGTCTGACCTCTGAACTCTGGCTTAGAATGTCTAACAATGTGTTTCTGAAAACAGGGCCAGAGTTGCTCTCAATGAGCATACCCACACACCCTTATCTACAATTCTGAAATCCCAGAGCTCTGACCAAAAGTGTGTGTGTGTGTGTGTGTGTGTGTGTGTGTGTGTCTTTGGTAAAACATTTCTGAGCAAAAATCAAACAAACAAACAAACAAAAAAACCAGTTCTGAATTGATTTTATGTAGTTTTATATACTGTTACATAAATGTTACACCTATATGGATATAAACTATACACTATGCATATACAGACTATGTATAAAAATTATACAGTATAGAGATATATAAATGATATATATGCTATACACTGAGTGGCCAGATTATTATGATCTCTGAATGCATAATAATCTGGCCACTCAATGTGTGTGTGCATATATATATATATATATATATATATATATATATACATGGAGTCTGTGTCACGGATGAGGAGGGGACTCTCTGACATTCCAGCTAACGTGCCCACACCACCCACGTGAGCTGGCAGGGGGTGGAGTCTGAGCGACAACTCGGGTTTGTGTATGTGACGTCAAGACATGATAGCTATGCTCACGTCCCTGCTCACACTGGCAGAGAGGCCCTGGGGAGAGGGGTCTGGTTGAGGCTGGGGTGGGCCTGGGGCCCCCCACTTTCATGCACTCTTGCCCCTCAGTCTCATTTTTCGAGTTTCTCTTTGCTGCTTCCCATTTCCCAACAATTCAGACAAAAAAGGATTCATACTTGGTGGGTTAAAAATATATGCTGGCCCCACTTCTCTTTTCTTCTATGGAAGTAATGTTGATGAGATATGGGGGTCCCACCCCCATTTGGCAAAGGGGACCCTGCAGCTCAGGACCACACAGCTGGTAAGTGTCAGAGCAGACACTGAGCTCTGGGTCTCCGGGAATTTTAAGGTGGGCAGGAGCTTGTCAGTCATCTAGTCCCTGTTTCCTGACGCTAGTCACGTGCCTCCCATCACCATAATTTACTTAACCCATTCAACAAAAACCCTTTTTTGTTTGAACATAAACACGTTTATTTAAAAGGAAAACTTGACATCACCATTATCCACAAAAAGTCAGTATTTCCGAACATACGTAAAAATGAAGACATGAGCACTCAAATAAAAACTGTCCATCCATGCACCACTGAGTCAGAGGTTAGAAAGTGCAACTGGCAGGCTCAATCCAGCTCCCCTCCTGCTTTTGAACGGCCTGCGCTAAAAATGATTTGACATTTTTAAATGGTTACATATTAAAGGGCCGTGTAGGAACTTACACAATAGCTTGGATTTTGCCTGTTGGCCCACCGATCCTGCCAGAGGTACTCTTTGCCTCTTTATGTGAGAGCCTTGGACCAGATTTGCCTCCTGTAGGAGCCCTGAGTGCTGGAAAGTGCTGAGTCAGAGCATCGCTCCCCTCGCTCTGTCATCCATAGCTGAGAAAGCTAAGGCCCAGGGAGCTTGTGGCGCTTGCTTCAGGCCACAGAGCCAGATGGTGGCAATGTGACATTGCATGCAGAGAGTTCTTAAGTTTTCTGATTCTCGGCTCTCGGCCCATCAGCTTCCCTTTCTGAAAACAGTCATGTTGACCTCAGGTACATCTCACACATTTTTATGTATCAAGTAGGACCTCCGGACTGAGAGGGGCAGGGGTTGTGTGACTCCAGAACCAAAGACCAGTTCTTTGGGGGCATTGGCAAATCTATGATCATCATCCTTATCCTCATTCCCATCATCAAATGTTCAGGAGAACCCTGCTCCTGACATAGATAAGCAACCAAGTTCAAAGTCTCACATGCAGATCCCTTTCAGAGCCATCCACAAAGAGTCGCCAGGCCCCACGGGGAATCTCCTTCCTGAGGCCCACAGAGGGTTAACGCTGCAGGCGGATTATCGTGTTCATGGATCTCCCCCGGGGGAGCTGTATCAAACAGAGGTCAAGGATGCTTGCGTTTGGACCTGATTTTCCCACGGACTGGCTGGTTTTATGCCCTGAACGGGAGGCAGGCTGAGAAGGGGTAGGGATAGGAGGTTATGAGAGAGGAAAGAGTCCCTGGACCCCGAAGCCCCTTCCATTTCCTGGAACTCACACCGAGGAATTCCCCTAAGTGAGGGCTCAAGGGAAAAAGGCCCCCTGCCTTTCTGGGCCAGATGCGCAGAACACCGAGGAAGAGGATGGCACACCTCTGACCTGACTTCATGGTGGGCGCGGAAAAAGGCCGGGTGGGCTGGGAGAAAGGATGGGTGGGCTCGGAGAAGGGATGGGTGGGCTCGGAGAAGGGACGAGTGCCCTCCATGTAGAAGAACATAGAAAACCATCCCCAGGTCTGCAAAGTCAGTTAGAAACCCTCCAGCTACAAGACAGGGCAGTAGGAGTGAGTGCTCCATCTGCACCTGCTAAACAGCTCTCAAAAGTCGATTGTTAAATCAGTTGAGTCATATAAAAATTAGGAATGTGCTTGATCAACAGGATATTTACCTTCTTTAAGGATCCCTTCCCTCCCCCTCTCCGTCCCCCCCCCCCCCGCCTTATACTAGTCCACTCACTTGCCTGTAATTTCCCTAGTTTTTAATTTTTAATTTTTATTTTATTTTGTTGGGTTTTTTTACAGAGAGGAAGAGAGAGGGATAGAGAGTTAGAAACATCAATGAGACAGAATCATCCATCAGCTGCCTCCTGCACCCTCCCCCCGCCAACGGGGATATGCCCGCAACCAAGGTAACGAATATGCCCTGATCGGAATCAAACCTGGGACCCCTCAGTCCGCAGGCTGACGCTCTAGCCACTGAGCGAAACCGGTTTCGGCTTCCCTAGTTTTGGACACAGGGCTGATTCCCTTCGGTAATCCCTTCTGTGGCCAATGACATCCTTTAAGTTCCCATAAAGGGCTCCCTCCCGTGAACACGGTGCTGCTTTTCTTCTGTAACCCTTGCTTCCTTTTGGGGAAAGCGCCTTTATAAAAGCAGCAGACGCTGTTTGCTTTAGGAGAGGGTTTCATTCACTCTGGGCTCCCCACTAAAGGCCTTGGCCCCTTAGCCCGCGTGCCCCAGGTGTGAGTTGAGGAATAATGGCTGCTTTGTACCCAGTTGCTCAGCTTCTCAGGCCTCTGGGGTCCTTGCAGTAATTGAGCATTTAGCTCTTAAGATTTCTTTTTTGTTTTTTTGTTTTTTGTTTTTAAGAATTTTTAAAATCCTCATTTTAGTATATGTTTATTGATTTTACTGAGAGAGAGAGAGAGAGGAAGAGAGAGAGAGAGAGAGAGAGAGAGAGAGAGAGAGAGAGAGAGAAACATCAATGAGAGAGAGAAACATTGATCAGTTGCCTCCCATGCACACCTGACTAAGGATAGAACCCACAACCTACACATGTACCCTGATGGGGAATCGAACCCACATTTTGGAGCCCCATTTCTCAGCGAGGACACTGAGGCTCAGCAACAGGGAGGCCCTGGCTTGAAGGTAGCCCATACATCCCCAACAGGGGGTGACAATTGACCTGAGAGGGGAAATATTTGGTCCTTGGGGGAAAGTATCAAAAAATCTTAGATGTTATCATTTTTCATGAGCCTCCAAAGACCACGGCATACTAAGGACTTACAGCATTTCTATGGTATCAACATTTCATGGAGGGGGAGACAATTAAGAAAAATTATCTCAAAAAGCTCCTTCGTGGGGGCAATAACAGAAAACCCCCCCACAAGGTTGAGCAGCATTGGGTTAGACTCAGAGTCAGCGGCACTACAGGAAGGGGTCTGCAGGGCGGGTCCGGGCCTGCTGTTCTGGCCACACGTGTTGATTCTCCGAGAGGCTGGCTGCCCTGTGATCTTGGACAGAGCACTGGGCGGGGAGTCACCATTATGCCTCCTGCTCCTCTCCCAGCCTCAGGTCCCCACCTGCTGCATGAGCACACTGAGGAGGCAGACTCCACGCTGGGCCCTGGCTCCGTGGTTTCTTCAGGCACCCACCTGACCGGGCCAGCACTCAAACACATGCCCGCACTCACAGGTGCCTAGATGGGGGCTGTATTTCAGCCAAGCGAGCTCATCCGACTACCACCCACAGAGGCTACACGTTTATCCCCCTGTTCCTCTTCTCCCTTTCCTCCTGCGCCCACTGCCTCCAGCAGTGCATCCAGGGTGTTGTTGGCCTGGGTAGCCGGACCCATGGGCACTCTGGCCCCTCACCCACTGCCATCAAAAGACCCACAGCGGTGAGCGTCCGTCTCCCCCACATGTTGTCCCCACGCTAGCTGCCTAGTGAGTCGAGAAGGTTCAAACACAATCCACACCAGGAAGGCTGGCGGGTGAGGTACCTTTCACTGTGAGACCTCGAAGGCACGGAGGCTGGAGTCCCCGTGGACTCCAGGGGCTTCCTCGCCCTCCTAGGAGCCGGCTCACTCACCACGTGCAGCCAGGGAGGGTCCGAGCAGCCAGAGGGACCGGCCTGTGGGCTCCTTGCCCTGCAAGAGCCAGGGGCAGCAGCAGCGGCCGCGGCAGGTGTGGTGCCCATGGCCTGCGCACCCAGCACCTCTGCCCAGCCTTCCGGAGCGAGAGGGGACGGGGCAAACCACCCAGCCCTGGCCAGTTTGTCTGAGGAGGAAAATTCCTGCCTGACCCTGGCAGAGATCAGCAACTTCACTCTGGGCGTGGGACCAAAAAATTTTACCCAATTAAGCATCGACGCATTGGCTGTATATGCACCGAAGCATCACCGGGCAGAACCAGGCCATCGGGATCTAACCCCTGGAAAAGAGGGCCACTGAGGGCCTTCGTGGATCCCATCTTCTGAGCAGTCTCATTGGGAAGCAACATTTGTTCCTTCTGCAATGCTCCAGTGAGACCCGAGTGTCCATTTCCCACTCCTCGGACGCCCCTACAAAGGCACCCGTGAAGGGAGACCCAATGGACTGTGTCGACACTTTCTATAAAGGAGGGAGGGTGGGGTGCTTGAGTGTTTGTTCTTCTGGGAGAAACCAGAGCTCCTGGGAACTGCCTTGCTGACGTCTTGCCAAGCGAGCCCTCATTTTCCTCCGCTCTGCTCAGGGTGTTCGCTGGTGGGCTTGTTTTTGATTGTTTTTGTGAAGGTGCGGCACAGACCCACAGAAAGGCTGCAGTATGGTTTACAGGGGGCTCCCATGGGACGCTCGTCGGTTTTGGATTAAACCGATGGAGGGGAAGGGAGGTCCATCTTACCTCTGTCCCCACAAGCAAAGAACCCTGGCCCAAAGGATTTTCGTTTCATACGAGGGGTTGGCGCACAAAAAGCCACGACCCTCTCTGAGCTCATCTCTAAAACGGGGATTTTAACCTGGGGTCCTCAGGCTTTCCTGAGGATTTCATTAAATCAGTTAAATATGCAGAGGACACAACATATATATATTCATTCTCTGGGCACAACACATACATTCATTTCCGAGGGGCAGGGGGGGAGGGGTCAGTCTTCATCAATGTTATTCGGGGGGCTTGTGAGAAAAGAAGACACCAAACTGTGCACACTCCTGCGGAGACCACTCTGAGTCACGAAAAACATTATCTCGGAGAACACGAGGACACCGAGCTAAGCCTTCACTCAGCGCCGCCAACCGCCCCTCTCTGCGGGGCCTCTAGACTAAGGTGACCAGACGTCCCGATTTTTAACAATTTGTCCCACAGCGTTTTAAAAAAAGTCCGGATTATTGGAAAGAATCTAACACGCGAAGCTGTCTCCATAAAGCACGTTAACTGCTCGGGCCCCAGTTTCCCCATCTGTAGAACAAAGAGGTTGTGCCTAAGGGTCTCTGACATCCTAAGAATTTGTAAAATTCTTAGCCCAGTCCCCTGTGGGTCCCCAGCCTTCCTTGAAGAGAAGGGAGCTTGTGCCACCAGCGGCTGCCAGCAGGGGGCGGACGAACAAGAACCCTCCCACACCGCAGAGTCTGAAGAGGTCTGGAAAGACAGTGGAAAAACCCTAACCACTGCTTTTCTGGAAAGACTCTCTCTAGACGAAGGTGGCGTGAGAGGGGGAAAATGGGTTTCTTTAAAGTTCTTTCTTACATATGAATTCCTGAAAGAAAAAGAAAAAGAAAAAAAGGAATTCCCCAAATTGTAATAAGGCAGCTTATTTCCTCTGTATCAAGAGGGAACTATGAGCCGGCCAATGGGGAAAGGAGGAGTTGGGACAGGGGTGCGGTGGGCTCTCCTTGAAGCGGGATATTTTTTTGGGGGGTAAAACCCAACCTTCCTTCCTAAAGGTAGCGAGTGCCTGTCTGCCTTCTCGTGATTCCCCTTGGTATAGTCAAGTGAATGCGGGGGCTGTGGAGGAGGGAGTGGGTGGCTCCACAGCCTGTGGGGGCAGAAGTGTATCCCCCGCTACCCCCCTACAAGCAGTGAAATCCCAGTCACCCAGCTCTCGGGAGGCACTGTGACGCATGGCACCCTCAGGGGGGCTGGCAACCTGGAGCTGGAGACCCACCAACCGCCCCGGGGCCCTCCAGCCCCAGCCTCTCAGCCCTGACACCCCTTTACAATTCATCCAACAAAAGCAAAGAAAGGGTGCTTACGTGAGGACAGCGCTGACTGGGTCCCAAGAGGAGGCTCTCCAGGCAGGAGAAGGCAGGTGCTTCCAGCACCAGCGCCCGGTGGAAATAAAGGCACCTGTAGCCTTGTGATATAAGTAACACCTACAGACAGGTCCGTTTGGTTTTTCAGGTTTACGCACAGCCCCTTTGATGACGGTGACATACGGTGTGACACGGCTCCTTGGGAGGGGGCGGGTGCGGGCGGGAGGGGGGGGGGGAGCGGGATGGTTCTCACGTGCAGAAAGTTTACCTTTATCCTGCTTTTGTGCCCAGCTCGCCACCCTCCTTCTTGGCCCAGGGGACTCGGTAAACAAGCCCAGAATTCGTGCCTCCGTGCTCTGCCCAGTCCTGCACAGAGCTGGCTGGGGATTCTCAGTCGTGCAAGCCGTAGGGGGAGCTCTCAGAGGCAGCCAGCCTCCCTCCTGGTTTGGTAGAGTCTGGCGCCTTGGAGGAGTAGTCCATTCTCCTTCTCCCCCCTGTGTGGCCAGGAGGAAGGGCAGGATGGGGCAGTGGTTATGAACACAGGCTTTGCAGCGAGATGGCTTTGGACTCAAAGTCTAGGTCCATCATTTTCTTTTTCTTTTCTTTTTAAATATATTTCATTGATTTTTTTTACAGAGAGGAAGGGAAAGAGATAGAGAGTTAGAAACATTGATGAGAAAGAAACATTGATCAGCTGCCTCTTGCGCACGTCCTACTGGGGATGTGCCCGCAACCAAGGTACATGCCCTTGACTGGAATCGAACCTGGAACCTTTCAGTCCGCAGGCCGATGCTCTCTCCACTGAGCCAAACCAGTGAGGGGTAGGTCCATCTTTTTCTAGCTGGGTTGCCTTGGATAATGTAAGCAGCCTGTCTGAGCCTCATCACGCTGGTGCAAAGAAGAGCAGTACCCACTGGGCAGCTCAGAGGGTCACAGGAGGTAACACAGGTGAAGCCCCGAATAAGCTCGTTGGTAGCGATTATGTTCACAACCTTTTCCTGGATGGAGCACAGGAGCCAGAAACCCCTCACTACCACGCCCTCCAATCTCTGCCTTCGGACCGGGCGAGGGGAACCAGCTTGCAGAACCATTGCTGGGCCTTTCTTCTACTTTTACACTCATCAACAGGGCATTGGGCACATGAACTTATTCAACTTCTAACATCTCTGGATGTGATGAGCCACAGGATGGCTTTCTCCCTCTCTCCACTCCCCAGACCCTGCCCCCGTCTTACCGATGGAGAACCAAAGAGATTTAGGGGGTCAGTCAGGGGTCACGAGGTGGGACCTGGCTTGGATGCCAGCTCTCTGGTGTCTAGCTGAGGACTACCTGATTTGGGGGATTTCCCTGGGAGGGTAGACACCCCACCTCATTCAGGCTGTGAGATAGTGCCCCTGGTCAGCCAAGGGACAGCATTTATGACCTCTGCCTTTCTGCTCTGGGCTTGGAGCTCTTGGGCAGCCAAGACATGTGTCCGAGGTGCAGACTCCAGGCTTTAGAGTAAAAGCAGGGACTGGTTTGTTAGGTTTTCTTTGGATCCCTGGGCACTGGGACAAACATACAAATACAGAAACACATACAGTCTGGAGAAACAAAAAGGTAGTTCATCCCAGGACTCAAGTGTCATCATGGAAAAATAGTTGGAGGAAGATAGCAGCCCAGGCTTCTGACTTGCTGTGTAACGTCAGCCAAGTCACGTAGCTCCTCTGGGCTCCATTTCCCCGCAGTGGTAAAAGGAGGAGGTTGGATAAGAATAGTGATTTTCAAACTGTGCTCTGAGGAACCCCCAGGGGTTCCCCGGAGCCCTCAACAGGGCTTGTGGGGGGAGGGAATGGGGGATTAGCGCGGATGGGCGAGGAGTGGGTTAGGTTCTAGACCTCTCCTCCTGCTTCAATAAGAGCATCTCATCTTTTATACAAATCATCAGGATGAGATTGCATTTGAACAAAAGAATGTGGACTTAAAAGAATTTGCAATGAACTAGATTAGATGGCCTTTAAATTTGTACTTAAAAGAATCTGGAATGAACTAGATTAGCTGGAAAATTCTGTGACCTGCCTCTTCCTCCTCTGTGTCTGGGGGACCCTGATGGTCCTAACAACCACGTTCAGGGTTCTTGGCCACTTTCCCATCTTGTCTCTGGCATCTGAAATGCCTCTCATGTTTGTACTGTGTCTGCACGAAGCATTCTTCTCAGTAGAAAGATGTGGGTGGAAAACATATTATTCTGTTGTTTTTAGAAAAGAGTCTTTTGGTGAAATTATACTTTTTTTCTACACTGTCCTGGCTGAGAAGTTTCAGAGTGAAAACTCTTCTGGCATTGAATGCGTATGACAACAAACTGTCTCATGGCTCTGAATGTACAATATGGCATCTCTGAGTCTGGGAAATTACAGGCCTGCGGACAGTGAATAAAAGGGGTGATTAAGATAAAACCAAAATAAAAGAGGAATTAGACTCTAATTAAGTCTATCACACCTAAATTTGATTGGAGTGGAGATCTTGGACGATTCCAAACACTAAGCTTGTAAAAACTGTGTTATGGATGTCAATCAAAGACAAGAGACGGCGGTTGGGGATGAGGAGGAGGTGGGCAGAAGAAATGGAGCATTTTAGAATTTCCAGTGGACCCTCCTCTGGTGTCTCAGCCACACGGCAATGACAGGTAACACTAGGCTTATGAGAGCGACTGGCGACTAAGACCAGTTTCTAGAGGGAGACTTCCTAAGTTCGAATCCCTGCCTTGCCATTTGCTGACTGGGAAGTTTGTTGAACATCCTTGCATTCCAGTTCCCTCTTCTATAAAAGGAAGAAGAGGAATCCATCTCCTCTTGGTTGTTGGGTGAATTAAATGAGTTCACACCTGGCATGTGTTGAGAACTCTTTATTATCCCATGCTGGCCTGTGACACGTGACAGTGACTAAACAAGGAGGCCATTAGTCCCACTGGTTCTAATGCCTGGTTATCTTATGCAATCAACCTGAGACCCAAGCCAGAGTCGATTGTAAATGCACTTGTATTCAGAAAAAAGGGAATTTAAAAACAACTAATCACAATGAACTAGGCTGGTGGTCGGCAAGCTCATTAGTCAACAGAGCCAAATATCAACAGTACAATGATTGAAATTTCTTTGGAGAGCCGAAAACCGACTTCTGTGCATGGACCACAAAGTTTCAATTGCACT